ATGTACATATAACAGATGAGTTCCGGGAAAGAGAAGGAACAGACTGATTTCGGAGAGACAGCTCAGGTGGGGGCTATCCAGTGGGGGCTATCCGGAACTAGACATATATGGTCTTAAGTGTCATTTTAAGCATTAAGCATTTCCTGAGTCCAAGTTAGACAATTTTAATATAGGCTATCTCTTATGACATCCATAAGCAAGAACCTATAAGCTTGAACCTTGGAATCAAAGTAAATTCTTTCACAATACTCACACTTGCCCTCCTCTAGTGGAGTTTCTAATGACAGGTTTCACAGTAGGTTTCCGCACAGGCATTGTGACAAAGCCCTTATTTTTCCTTCCCCAGATGGGCTGTCTTGGCAAACCGAACTGGAGAAATAACTTGTATTTATCGGACATCCCCAAGCCGACCAGTTGGGGTCTAGGCGGGTATGCCGTCCTGTGGAACTGGGGGGAGTTATGTGACAAAACTCCTATTTTTCCTTCCCCAGAGCCATTTTCCTCCCCAGTTCGGGAATCTGTTATAACTTTGGTTCCCTTATCCCCCTGCCATTCGGGATTATAAAGTACCGAACACCAACCACCCCACTGGCTCATTAAGTTCAAAGAAACCGCAAGAATTAAGTGCTCTTTCTGTATAACCGAACGCCACGTGGTGGAGAAAACGGCGGCCATCTTGTTGCACGAAAGCAGGCAGCGGGAATTGGTCGTCAAGGCGTGAGCACCAGTAAAACTTTGTGAATGCCTGCTTCTGTATGCGGCAAGCCAGGAGAGCGCTGTTCGGTAGTTTTGTTCAGATGGACCTCATGAACGAACACTACCAATGAGCCAGAGGAACCATTCGCCTTTTCATTAGTTTTAGAACTCCCAAACATGACCGACTGCTACCTCTAAAACTGTGGAACTATTTTGGGCAGGCCGCTCATGAGTGGTCGGTGGCGATTCGGCTGTGTTTGTGGGATCTGAGCTCTTTTTGGATTTGTTGGGCGCTCGGACCCAGGCTGTCCGTGGATGTACAAACTATGGGGCTTCCTTTAGGCAAATTATGTATTTTGTGTGTTTAAAAGTATTTTTGGGGATTTTGTAAATATTTATGATTACTGTACCTGGAGATAATTGAGCTTAATACAGTACTTGACTCAATTATCATACAGGTGCAGAGGAGGGATTGACCTATTTTGTATGGGAGTGCCAATGTAATCGCGTATATGTTTTTACTGTAGTCTACTGTCAGGTCCAGGGGGGAGTGCCCCTTGCATAAGGCCAGTTGTGGCTGCCAATAAACAGATTTGGTTTACCTCTTCATGAAGTCTTGGCTCGTGTTTGTGGAATTGGGAGCTATATTCACTATAATCACGTCTACGCTCGGAACCTGTCAGAGAGCCTTCGCAGATATACTCATCCGGAGTATAGGGGATCCATTACAGGCGTCATTTAACTTTGATCAGGTATTAGGGTTTGTCCTAACCTAAGACTCATTCAACTTAATTACTATTAGTGGCAGAATCAAGTATTGGTTTCTTGTTGGAGCCCTTTTGACAACCTCTTTCTTTGCGGGTGCACCTACCATATTTGCCTAATTAATGGGAGTCCTAATAATATCTGTTCAATTTTATTATTGGCTACTCGTTCGTTAAAGTTCCCAGCATTAGACCATGGTATTTGGCCAATCTTAAGGGCCACCGAAGCAGCCTGACTAGGAAAATGCCATATTCCTCATTATCAAGCCCAAGTGAATCGGTCCCAGTGGCGTTTGCATGATATTTAACGAACTGAGCATTCTACTTTGCCACCCGTCTTACGTTTGGAGCGGAGAGATGCCCAAACTATTTGATATCGTTGCATAATCTCTCTGTAGGCTCCTCTTGTACATCAGTACTGTCCCTCAGTAATACATTCTCTACATGAGTGTAACGATTATGGAACCAAATGCCATACCCTGAGGCAGATGTGTCTTTTGTATTTGGTACATCCTTTGGAACTCCGCTGTCTCGATAATCCTTTGGCTCCTACACCAATTTTAATTCCTGGAAATACATTAGACTTGATTTAATTGCAGTTCAGCCTCCCCACACATTAAGTCCAATATATCAGGTATTCTGGACTGGCTGCAAAGGCTATGAATGTGTTTTTCAGGAGCACATGGCGCTCATTGCCCTGATGAGATTATCCATACCAAATCACCTTCCCAGATAGTTTACTCAGTCACAACTCACATGAAAGAAGATCTGGCGGTGTTTATTCGTCATATGATCTGTAGAATGTGCAGTTACGACAGGTAAAAGAACGATTCTTCCATACAGGATAGCAGAGATACAAGTCACATATGAATGTACAGCATAAAAAGGTACTAATACAGGAGAGGGAGAGGGGGTACCTGGAGCAGCATGCAAACTATGGAGTGACACAAGAGACAAACTTAAAATGAACATTAAAGAAACTGTACATTATAATAAAACAATATCATGTAACATGAAAGTAACTGTACATTATAATAAAGCGATATCATGTAACATGGCATCAGGGAAAGTGAAATCCCTTCTGGGCAGTGATACCTGTTTACCATATGGATCTCCAGTCTCTCCTTGGTCCTCTGAACTTTACCATGCACCTTACACAAGTGAGTTTATTCATTTCCCATCCACTTAACCTGCTCCCAGGTTCACCTGTCAACAATAGCGCAGTTACTTTTAAAACATGCTTGAACAGTCCTGTTAATGTTGCTAAACTTTCTTTTACACCAGAATAGGGAAACCATGTTCATTCCACCATGTAACGGCACCCCCAGGCATAAAAGGGTTAAACCGTCGTTTAGTAGATCTTCCCCTTCCAGAGACACAGGCACAGCTACTGCAGAACCCCAAACTCCCGAACAGGATACCAAGTAGCACTCCAAACTCCCGAACTGGAACCTCACGAATAGCTGCTGGCAGCTGAACAGGAAAAGCACCCAAGCGGCTTACACTCCTGGCAATCAGTCTCTAACAGCATACAGTAAATCCCCCCAAGAATGAGACAAAGCTCCGTGTTGAGGGTCAAGCAGTGAACAGACAGAGCTGTGGGTTTATTGTGCTTATGTACACATTCTTACACATTAGTACCACCCACAGGGTTTTGGAACACAACCAATAAACACATACAATACACTCAGACACTCCCACACAAATTCCTCCCCTCTGCTTGTGATTCAATTACCTTACACAATGGGTAATGTAATTTAGCACAAGCAGAGAAATACAATTTTTCCACATTATTCATAACTTGAAAAGTATGCATCACATTCACATAAAACTTACATTTTCAGAATCAGCATACTCCAGAATACAAAATCATACAAATTGGTCCAGTGGTTCAAAAGATAGATCGTAGTCCTTTGTGACCACAGGAAGTATGGCTTTTCTGCCCAAAACCAGTTCCACAGAGTCTTCTATCCTGGAGATAATTAGAAGCAATCCAATTATCTCCAAAGACAGAGGCAAAACTCCATTGAACACATGGCATCAAAAAGACAGTAAAATATAATAAAGTACACAAGGTTACATTTATGACATAAAATACAGACATGCAACATATGCCCAGATAGCTTAGGTCTGAGCGCACATTATTACTGAATGGCACTCAGAGCACACACATACAGTTCAATTGCCATGGAGCCAAAGTCTTTCCCATAGTCTTTCATTATACGAATGGGCTCCATGGCATAGCTATCTGGGGTATCACCGCTCAAACAGGGCAAGCACCAAATGACCCGGCTTTCTTGTCTCTGCAGGGGAAAATCAAGCCTTTTCACATGGGGCCATAATCCAAAGGCAACAGGCGAGCAACCAGGCTTCTCCAATGCAATGTGGCGAGATTGCTCTCGTCACACACCATGTCCCTCATTTCTGGACTAATACAGCTGCCCACACTGGATGGCAGCCAATTTCATAGTTAACTGGGTCTGTGACACAGTGACACGGAACCTACCCTCTTTTAGTAAATCAGCAACTAATACTAAGGTTGATTAGGAACAGATCTGCCTGGCAGCATCACAGAAACTCTACTTTGTTAACATACCAATACCAGGCTGTCATAACATAGCAACCGATGAGGTGACTCGATCACAAATTTTTGTATTCGTCCGAACTCTCCCCACGGCAGCCAAACGACCGAGCAAACCCCTACATTTCAGGATTTAATTGCTGGCATATGCAACACTCTCTGCCAATGTTCTAACATCCGCTATCAGACTCTCCCCAGCTACCGCAGATTCACAATTTTTAGCAGTTTGAGTTTAGGCCATGCTCGCTGTCTTGCTTCCGGTATGCCCCCCTGGCCATCAGTTAGGGTATTATATTGACAATGTGAATAAAAAACACCTCTAGTGGTTAATAAAATACAATAACACCCGTGTTCTCTGTGATGAGTGAGAGCAGTAATTAGTGACTGTTTTATTTTCAGGATCTCATGGAGTCCGAAGACTGCCTGGATCTCCACACGGCATCCCATAA